GAAAGTTCAGCCACCACCAAAGGTTTCAGCCTCAATACTGTAATTACTTTCCTCATTTGAAATCTTTAAATTACTTTCTGAATAAACCTGAGAGTCTTAAGAAGAACTCCAAGTCTCATTCTCTTCATTTCTACTAATTTCATCAAATGGATCTTCTAATCAATAATTGTACTTTCAAACATGTCTTGGACAAATTTGCATTTCAAGGGAGTTTATAACATATTTCAGCAAAAAAGTTACATGCCATCTCCAAGTGAATCGAATCCACAAAAAGAGCTTGACAAATATAAATGACAAAGATATAGAGATGGAGCTCAAATATTTAGCATGATGTGTATCTTTGAAAAATTGGAATTGATACAAAAAATGAAAACTTAAGACAGTGTTTTTCTTTTTACAGAGCAAATGTGTTGATAAATATAAGAAATAAGTATGAATTGAACATAATACCTTTAACAGCCAAAATAGAATCACCAGGTTCATTCAATTTAGCTATAGAGCTTTTCACAAACCTGGTGATCACTTGCCAACTCCATGTGAAGGAGATACAGGTACAAAGTCGATCCTTCATGTATATACATCCAATCAGCACCTTGACAGCAACAAGATTTCTGTATGTTGAAAATCTGGCTCAATGAGCAACTGGTTGCTTGGGTTTCTGAATAGGGCATTCTGTGTTATATATCATTACAGCTGGAAATCTTGAGATGAACATCGCTAAGACTTTAGCCACCAGACAATTGTATCCCCATGTCACAAATACATCAGTCACTACATATTTTATATACCAATGTTAACCATGACCAGGAATGCAAATACTCAAAAAACAATTAGAGGTACTCAGCTGGTTAAAATGGACATATTTCTGAAAAAGAAAAGCTATATGTAAACATACAAAATGACAAACAAATCTCAGTACTTGTACCACCTTAAAAAATAAGTTCCAGTACTCAGTACCAGTGAGTACCAATAGAAATTCATCCCTGACTGTGAACATGTTTCTCTGTCAACAAGCTTGTCAGTTGGATCCATATACTTTGTAAATCACAATACAGGAACTAATATACATAGTTATCTCAGCTCCGAGCAGGATCTAAACATACAATCTTTTGCCCACGTTGATGCTTTCATAGCACTGCTCTCTACCACCTAAGAAAAACAGTGTTACTACACTGAGCAAACAAATATGTCCCTTCTATGTTATAATATAGAGTAATTACCACACGAATACTAGTATACTGAATGTTAAACAGTGCTTCATAATGTGAAGTGTGAACTTCTTTTTCCATCTCTACACCAATATTATCATGACACTCTAAAGTTTCTTCAGCATGCAAAGGCACAACTGGTGTACAATTCAACCACTGAATGTATCTTATATTTCTTTCTTTGCTTACTGAATTAAATTACTTGCTCCAAAGGACTATGTACAGAATAGCATACTCCAAAGGACTACGTATAGAATAGCATACTCCAAAGGACTACGTATAGAATAGCATGCTCTAAAGAACAGAAAGTATAGAATAGAATTTTGATACGTTTTTTTTAAAGGAGTATGTACTTGTAACAGGCATATACACCCAGAAAATTATAATAAATGCATGTGTTGACACAAAGTTAAAGGAATAGGAAACAAGTAAATCCTCAGTTCAAAGTTACATATAATGTCAGGTATCCTAGTCAATTTCAAAATTAAAGCATTCTTTGTTGACAACCATGAGATCGAAAAAGTATGTAGTAGCAGTAATAAAATGACATAGTAAATAGATGTATTAATATTATGAAAAAAACTCATTTACCCAGATCTACTTTAGAAAACAAAAATAATCTTTTTAACTCACTTTGAATCCAAAATTACTTTGCTTAAAAGGTAAAGTAACTAACAAATAGAAAAAGTACACACAAACATACACATACCTAAAAAGGAAAACAAAATGACAGTACATGAACATAGGACTTACTTAGGCCTAAGGTTTCTGTGATGTAGGTAACACCTTTATAATTTAATTTACTAATGTCATTCTATATAATTAAGTAACATAAATTCCCTACTGAAAAAACAACAAAAAAAAACAGTAATAAAAATCAAGGCATGCTCAAATATAATTTACTAACCACATGTACTTGAAGATTTTTAACCATCATCATTGAAATGTTTCCTGCAAATGACAATAAAAGTTGTTGAGCCTTGCTTTCTTATTTGCACTTGCAAGTTTCGAGTAATTTTTTCCTTGAAAAAGGAAATCTTAAGACCACCCAATGTGTTACACTCTAGAACCCTGAACATTTTCAAAGTTTAAGATTGTTGCAGGGCTAAGTTTTCCTTGCAGTAAAGTACATAAGCTTTATTTCAAACAACTCCTTACATCACACAATAATGCACTTGCACATCAGCCCAACCAAGCAGGAAGTTTTGCAAAAATTATAATCCAAAGGGGTACTTATTGTAACAAACATGCTTTTCTTGCATTTTACATAAATTACAAGATACAATTTCAAGATCTTTACTTCCTTGATATAAAACTGTATTACACACAGTAATATTTCTAATAAGTTTACAGGTTGACTTATTTCAACCTGCAATGTAATAAAAGTAAGTTACAAATAAATGAAAACAAAATAAAATAAAAGATATAAATAATACTGGACAAGAAATATTTACATGCACAAACAATGGTGAAACCTGTTAAACAAACTTATAAACATGAAAGTTTCATTAACTCTTCTTGTAGCTTGAAGTACTTCATAAGATTTACAACAATATGGAAATTACTGTCATAAGCAAAAGGTATGAGAAAACAATATTCTGAACAATTCTTAAAGATAAGTCTGGTAATAAATCATGCAAAAAAGTAACTTACAGGATTTAGTTCACTGAGTTTGTTATCAGTAGAGATAATAGTGACACATTATTAACAAATTATTCTTGTTATACAAAAGCATAAGCACAGTTTCCATATGAAAACAATGGAACCTTTCTCTGGTGAAAAAAAAGTCAACAAAAGCACTTCATACAGAACAGTAAGACAAGCTTGAATGAATTACATTTGAAACATAAAGGTAACCATTGTTAACATGCTTTAAACTGTCTCATATGTATGGATACTGACTACATCAGCAGTGTGACCTATTTAAAAACACAAAGATACACTTACGTTATGATCTCCTTGTTTGTTGTTGATCAAGTACTTTTACAAAATTGTTACTTTTTGAATTAAGACATTTGTAACAACATTTCATAATACTAATATATCTTCAACTTAAAAAGAGATAAAAGAATAAATAATGATGTTCATACAAATTGTTTGGTAATTCCTTTTAAACATTAAATGTGTTAAAATTATAGAACCATTATAATGTGCAAAAGCCTTAACAAGCTGAAGGTATAATTTTCCTGTACTGAAAATGTATTCTTGATAGGTACTTACCTCCCCTCACAAAATTAGCCATTCTCATCCAGTGCTGCCCCCTATATGCCAACTTTATCTATATGCATGCCACAAGCCTTCTGCTCTCCCCCCCTCCTATTGGAATTGAAAGATTCCAACATGTGTCTTATGCAAATCATCATGCATCACTTCTCCACCAATAGGAGCATGACAGGCTCACGTGATGCACGTGACTCCCTCTATCGAACTATCACTTTGAAGTTTGGCAGAAGACGTAAGCACTGGAGTAAAGTGGGAACGAACAGTGGGAAGTGCGAGAGGAGGCAAGTACCTATCGGAAATACATTTTCAGTATAGAAAAATTATAACCTCCAATACAGTACTTACATCCTCTCACAAAATGAGCTAGAATCCCACATTAAATAGGAGGAGGGACCGGCACGAGGGAATGATAGAAGTACCCCCCTCAAATACATCTGAAGGATACCTCTGGAAATAAAAGAATAAGATCTGAAGATTACATGAGGGAAACTGCACCACTTCAGAACCATATAAATATAACTCAATCCCATTAATAGAAAAGTGGGTAAAACAATGGATGTACCCTCAGGTGTAGAGTGGCTAGGGCACATAAGTCAACTACATCCAAAACCCATGCTGCTTGGAACCAACATCCACACGGGGCTAGGATGAGAATCATACCATCTTTACCTCTAATCAGGTGGTCTCCCAGGTATAACACACATATTAGCACTGAGCTATCGATTCGGGGACCCGACATCTGGTATCTAAAGGATGTCTATCGCATGCAATCAACTCCCCCAACCTGAAGCTTACCAGAACCACCCAAAAGGTTAAGATTGGATGAGGGAGAACCAAATGACAGAACTGTAACAATCCCATGTACCACTTCACAACACAGATGGAGGAAAAATCGAGGGAGGAAGATAGATAACCCGAAATGTGCGAGGACTTATGTTGATTGGTTCTACTCTAAATCCAAAACCCAGCTGCAGAGTACTGACATCAGCGCGGGGGTAGCATGAAGGCTCCCAATTGAAGGGGTGAACTGCATTTTGATGTATCACTCCTTCATAATTGTATATCACAAAGAGGAGGACAGTATGTTATCTACACCCACAGAACACCACTGCCCTACTCTGCACTGAATGGTTATAGCCATCTTTGTGTGGAAACCATTCAGGAGGGTGCCTCCATGGTCGACCACCCCAGTGGCTTGGAAGCGGAAAGTGGTAAGGACTTCCATGCTTCACTAGAAGAAATGAGGTGAAGAGTCTGGAGGAACATCATCACCTGATACAGTGCAATGGGTGGCCACAAAACCCTATTTTGAAAAGCAGACCATACTGAGCTATTCACTATAGGCATGGGCAGCTATCCCCTTCTGCTCTACCCATGCAGTCCAAGGGTGGTACAGTCCGGGACGTGCATGTTCAGAAATAAATTAACAATAAATCTTGCAAGATCTAAACGGAAGGTCAAATGAAGCAGATGAACCATTTAAAGGAAATTCAACTGAAAAGTAAATATAATATTTTCAAAATATTTCACACCTCAAAACAATGTTCAAATAAACTTTTACCATTGAAATTTAAATGAAAATAAACATTTTATTGGATTATTATAATTTTCAATCCAAAGAATAAAAACGTAGGGCTATTTACAGAATACAGTAATCAGTTAGATAATCAACTGTAAGTTGTTTAAGGCAAAGGAAACAGTTAAACAACATTCTGTTTTTTTACCAACACATTTTCTTCTTACTGTACTATTCTAATGGCAATAATGGAAGATAATTGGTATGCCATTTTTATCTTATAGTGTAAATATATCCCTTCAATGTTTCAATAAACTCAGAATAATTCATAATGTTCATGAAATTACTGATGTAAGCAAATAATGATGCAGTGCTTAATGTTATGAAATCTGCTTTTAATAAAACAGCATTCTGTTAACATAACTATTTTTTAATCCTTTTCAGAATATCATTAGAAACTTTGTAGTTTTCATCCAGTGTTTAAAACAAAAATACCAGTTCAACTGGGTAAAGAAAATAATTTAATTATGTACATAAAGATTTATTCTTCAGAAACTAGTTTTAAACTTTTGTCTTTATTCCAAAATCTTAAATTACCTCTAACTACATAATTAACATATTTTTATCCTTATTTAACTGAAACTGTGCAGAACTGCTTTAGATCATTCACTCAGTTGTTTGCTATGCCTACGAATTAGTTCTCTGATAGGTAGATGAAGTTGTAGAGGATCTTTGAGCCTTCGTAACTCCTCTTCTTTCTCAAATATGGCATCACGCAAAGAATTATATTCTTTCACATCCAAACCATGTTTTCTGGCTTTTTTATAAAAACTTAATAGAAATCCTTGATCTCTCACATTAGGAAACAAGTATTCCTATTTGCAGAAAAAAAAAAGAAAAAACGATTAAACGCAAAACCCTAATAGTCTTAACAAATTTTAAAACAAGGAGACTGTTAGAAATCATCATCACAAAACACAATACATTCACACTCATCTCTTACAAATACAAGGTAACTTGTGTTGAAAAATTATCATTACAATGTCATTCAGAAAATACTTAGGTTCTTTTTATTATATCATTAAATGTGTTCAAAGTTAAATTTCTATTACAAATACTTTCTTTAAACTTTTATGAATAACCAGCATTGTTCAATTAACCTCATACTGCATAAAGAAATTCAAGTCCTACAGATTACCACATTTTGAGTTTCCTGGTAATCTTAACGTTGAACTATAAAGCTTGGTTTGTAAATATTTTTACTCCCTTTTATTTTTCATATTTTTTTAAGATAAACTTGTTTCTTCTTCCTTTGCTACACATATTAGAAATACATTGTAGCAAAAGAAGAAGAAACAAGTTTATCTTAAAAAATATGAAAAATAAAAGGGAGTAAAAATATTTACAAACCAAGCTTTATAGTTCAACGTTAAGATTACCAGGAAACTCAAAATGTGGTAATCTGAATAGCACTTCAAATATGACTGCACATGGCATCATAGCCATTAAAAATGGTTGGAAAAATACCATGGTATGAGTATTTATCTTTTTTTTTAGACTTGATTTATTGGTAAAAGTTAAAATAAGTCATGAATGCATCTCATTGACTTTCTAGACTATGCTGCAGTATCTGTATTGATTAAATTCTATGGGAAAGGACTACAATTCTTTCAGCATGATAATCCATCATGCCAAATAATGCACCATGTCCAGCAGTGGCTTGAGAAAATTAACATGCACAGAGTCTGTTTGGCCAGGTATTGAACTCAGAAATGAATCCAATCAATCTTTTTTAAGACGTTTTGGAATACTATAAATCAAAAAGGACACAAATCTTGTTATCTCCTCACAATTAAAGCTATTTTACATTTAGTATAATTCAACACATGAAATGAAAGTTGGTGATGAATGTTAATAGATAAAAATTAAAAATGGACCCCATTCTCAATTAAAATAAGAACTAGTTTCAAAAAAACATCCCCATTTTGTCAAGATGTGCTAGTCCAATACTTTTTGTAGTATAATTAAGTCACACAAATTAAGCAATTATACATTAACATATTACAATTATTTATTCAATTTTGAATTTTTAAAATTCTTGCCAGTTTCTTGAAATGTCAGAGACAAGTGAAAAAAGATAAATGATTATAACTCCACATTTTAAGACATTTACATGTACTAGCATACCATTCTTTACGCATGTACAAAGGACGTTTGATTTTGAAACTTTCTATGTGATGTCACTTTTCGATCAGGAGGACTAAAGTGTTTCTCATTTTCTTGTACTTATATAAATATTTGGTATTATTTAAAAGTTTGATGCTTACAACAATATTTTCAAGTGTTGCAACAAGTCTGCTATATTTTAACATAATGTAATATCAATGACCAACAAGGGACCTTTTGGTCCATCCTGGCTGTTTAGCCACTAAATTAAACTAATCCTTGGTAAAAAAAAAACAAACAAAGTCAGCCCTTATCAATCATATATTTATCAAGTATTCACTTAAACTCTCTTATTAACTTAACTGCATCTAGTAAATCTGAAGGCAACTCATCCCAGAGGTCAGCCACCCAATTATAAAAATAAAGCTGTATTAGCTAAAGATTACACTTCTACCCTTCCAAAATTTATGTTTGTGTCCCCTTGTCTTATCATTCTCAGCATTAAATATGAAAAAAGGGTGATGTATTACCTTACCGATCTTAAACACCTAATTCAGATCCCCTCAAACACTTATTTTTTTTCAAGAGAAAAGAAGTACAAAGATCTTAACCTATCCTCATATGATAACATTTCCATCCAAGACATCAACCTAGTAGCCCTCCTCTGAACCTTTTCCAATAATTCAATATTCTTTCTGAGGTAAGGAGCCCATGACTGAACACAATAATCTAAATGTGCCCTAACCAATGACCTATACAGTTACATTATAACCTCTTTAGACTTGTATTTAATAATTCTGTAGATATAACCAAAAACCCCATTTGCCCCGCCACTAGCAATAACACATTGCTTTGATAGCTTAAGAGACTGATTAGCCAGAACAATAAATTTTTTCTTTTATAATACTGTTACAATTATTTCCATCAAAATTGTATTCATAACTCAGATTGTGGTATCTCACATGCATTATCTTGCATTTATTATAATTAAAAGTCATTTAAAAGCCATTTATTTGCTCAACTTGCTAAACAATACAAATCTTTTTGTAAGGTAGTAACATTCTCCTCACAGCCAGCAACAACCAAAAATTTGATTTTATCAGCAAATTTAAATAATCTTTTGACCATTTCTTCATCTATGTCACTGATGTAAATCAAAAAAGATCAAAGGTCCCACACTGAGTCCTGAGGTACTCCACTCATGAGATTAATCCAGTTTGACTGAACTCCACTTATAACAACTGTTTGCTTTCTTCCATCTAGCCAGTTTTCTATCAAATGACTCAAGTTATCCCCCACCACTAATGACTAGCTCATTCAAATTATCACTCATTAATAAAATTGGCAGGAATTAACACTAACAAAAGTGAAATACTGCAGTACTGATGCATGTGGAAAATAAAATGCAACAACTAGAAATATTTGAGTGAATTGATCATTTTTTGTATGTTTCAAAATATTATTTACATGTAAAAATGTCTAATGTTTTGCTGAACTCTTGCAAATTAGCCCTGGTACAGTGGTAGGGACCAACTGGTTTCTTGCAATGTACCTGTCTTTATCACAGACACACCCCCAATGAAAGAATAGACCATTCCAAGCTTTTACTTGTTGTTAAACAAATGTTTAAACAACTCTATTCAACTAATAATGAAATAAACAGAAGAAGAAAACGATTATGGCCAAATCACAATGAAAATATTGTTAAAATCAATGATGAAGTTGTATATGATGAAACTAATAATATGGATTTTATTGATGATAACATTTGGGCCTTATATGAAGAGGTTATGATGACAAAGAAAATGAGTACGTAATGAAAGTACGCATAGCTATATATGATATCAAAGATGTTTTCAGAATAGATTCTTCTTTAATGAGAAATTTACCAAGTCAAAAATCATGTGTGAAAGTGAATCCTTTAATTTCTATTGATAAAGCAAGTTGTACAATTACCTTCACAATTTCAGTACTAAAGAAAAAATGCTCTCATTATTTTACCTAATGATCAAGACCAGTTATTGCTTAATATAGGAAAACAAACTGTAAAAGATAGTAGAGACACCAAAGAAATTATATTCAATAACAAGTTAAAGAAAAATATAATTGAAGTACAATCTAAACTTCTGTTGTATTTTATCCAGTGAAAAGTGTTACTAGCTCCGTGTGCTTCATTACAAAATGACGAAGTTTTCCATTTGTGTAAAATCAATATCAAAACACAACAGACTACCTGATATTTTAACTTGGCACAGTATCTTTTAAACACATTCCAAATGAGGTTGTTTACAACTGCAGTACTGGTTATCTAATTTTTCTAATATATAGTTAATATTTGTTGATACATCAATATATATATAGCCATATCCTTCCTCTATACTTAATATTTTGCTCTAAAAACAAAATAAAAAAAGGTGAGAAATCCTTATCATTAGCACTTTCTCATTTAGTATAATTTACACAACTGACTTCAAAGATCGATTTTTGGTGATCCTACCCTTAGTACAAAATGTTACCCAATTTGCCTGTATGACAGGTGTTAAAAAAAATGAGACAAACATTAGCTGAAGAACTGTCAGTTATTGCATGAAACTAACCTAGAGGAAAGGTGGATTTACAAAATGCAAAAGAAATATATTTGAATAAAATGGTGGGTAAAGCATACCTGTTTAGATAATACAAAATATGCATACATAGCTATAGACGTTCCATAAGTAATAAAATATGTAACTGGTTCCATTATGTCCCATGAATATTCCCACCAAGTCAACCGTGCCAATACACCAAACTGAATTCCGAGGAGGCCCAGTCCAGTCCAAGTCAGAAATGATGTTCTTCTATGTGATGCTCTTTCAAGCTCAATTCTTTTCTGGAATGAAGAAGAAAAAAAAATATATATAATAAGACTTACAGTAATTCAAAGTGGATCAGTATAGATCTTTAATTTGGACACTAACTAGGAGACACACAATTTATTTCCTTTTAAGTCAGGATATTTTAACATACATGAGCAAATTTTCCCGGTATTTTTGGATAGATGTAATTTTAGGTAGCCAACTATATTCTGTGGCATAAAGTCTATCTATCATAAACTGACTAAATTATTAAATAAAACTAATTTGTAATAATATTATTATAAGGATCTAATCCTACTAGAAGTTTTACAGTAAACTAAAAGAAATACGCTGATTACAGGTATTGTTAATTACACTACATTATAATTGCAGGGTAAAAATTAACCATTATTTTATGTTACTGAAGAAAATTGCACTTTATACGGCTGACACAATAGGTTACAACTGACAGAAGGCACCTCCTTTCCTTTTGTACACTGTTGGTTCATATAATAGTGCAAACCTGTACGACATTTTCAGAAAAATGCAAGTTGTAGCTGTTTGTTTGTATTAAATAAACAGCAGTGGCAAGACTATATTTATGGAATGCCAATAAACATTTCAAGCTAAATATTGAACTTATTTAAAGCTTATATTTACTAAACATCTTAGTTTTTTCTTCAGTATTTCACCCAAAAAATGTATAACAAGAGTGTGTACACTCTGATCATTCTTTCTTCATTACTTGGTGGTAATGAAAATGTATTTAAATGTTAGAAACAGATAATCAGAAAATCTTGAAGACAGTCACAATATTCTGTTAACATTAGCTGGTAACATTCAAGCTATCTGTTCTTTAAGGTCTATAAAGTTGTGTAGGGTATTTGACAGTAAAAGAATAAAAGTATCATATGAACATGCACAACATAATAAAGTTGTCCTTCATGTCAAATGCACAAGTTGTGCATAATAAGCAATAACATATTGTGGGAAGCTAGTAATTAGAGGTGTAACTAAAACAAAGAAAAACCTTAATAATGTTATCTTTCCAGACCAAAGGGGTGTTAATGATGCCTTTTTCTTCCTTCTCACAATGGAAATACTTAGCATATTGCATAAAACTAAGAACAAACTTACTAAATAGTATCTAGTTTCAGCTTTAAAAAATTCATGTAATTTCATTTAGTATCTATCATTCTTTATGTTGTGAAAGTTCCAAAATTTTGTTGACACTGTTCTGAAAAAAAAAACTTATTTTCTTAGAATTTCAATTTTTTATACTGTTAAGAAAGTTCCATTTTTCATATACGATCAGTTTTAACTTGATTAATATTCATTGACACACTTCTTTTGACACCTTTTTGCTAGTTGCAATATTTATCACTTTTTGTTACAAATCAAAAAATAAAAACAAACAGCAAAAACTGTAAAAAATTTATTGGTAACTTATGACATGACCTACCATTAAAGTTGAACAATTAGTGGAACATAATAATCAATTAAAGGTCAGACTCATTAATCAATTACACTCAACTAATTATTTATTCACACAAGACTCAGATAATTGGAATAATAAAAACAGTAACAAATAAGAAATGTTAATTTCAATTAGTTGATTATTTCTTTTGCAAATTGTAACACTAATTGATTAAGCTTAACAGCCTTGAATTAATCAAAAATAATAATATCATAAATCAGAAATATTTGGATTACTTGGATAGATGGAATACTCAAAAACACTGATTTTGTTTAGTTCACTATTTTCATAACATTAATCAATTTAATCCTAATTGTTATTAATCTATTATTTTATGTGACACTAACCAATGTAACTGATTTTCATTATAAGTTATTGTATTGATTAACTGAGTTAATCACAAAGCTCTGTCTGCCACAATAGCATTGGGTCAGGCTAGATAACAATACTTTTAGTAACAATATTCTTTGTCGAGATCAATTTAAATCTAATATAAGTTATTCTTAATAAATAATAAGTTATTTTACCTATCTATGTTGTTTGAATTCAATAAACTTAATAATAATATTCAATAAATAAGGACAGGGGCATACATTGGTCAATTTGGTGAGCATAATGTTATCTATTTCTATGCATATAATGTGTATGCATGTGTTAATACAGTTAATATTTATGTATATGTGTGTGTGCTTAATGTGCCCCCTTCTTCAATGGTGGTCACATTTAAACTCCTGTGCATAGCCTGAATAAGGATTTGAGCATAGTTGGGTGATTGGAATATTTTGTCATTGGTTAACATGATCTCTAAACCTAGCTAGGTTTAACTGATGTACTGTTATAGAAGAAAATTCTATAGCTTTCAAACAAATCCAAGTTCACACAAAAATATTTTAAGAAATGAAAAGATTTTCTAAGGAAACTATTAAAAAGTTTCCAGATCTGTTGCTTATTTCCAAATCTTCTACAAATTACACTAGATTACATTCTGCTTCTTTGCAGGAGCTACTTCTAATCACGTTATCATAAAACCATAAGTTACTTCTCATCCCACTTCATTACCTCTACACAGACAGAAATAATTTATAACCAGCTCTCTTCAATAATATTAAAATTTTTCCTGTAGCTATTTTAAAAGTTGTGCTTCATTAGTAGCTTAACTTCACATGCTTTGAGGCCATAAAAGAGTAAACAGAGACCTGTAATAATAAAATGCCAAACAAAGAAGGAAAATCATGAGAAAAACAAAACTTAGTTCACCGTATTCTCAAGATATGATAGTATCTTAGCAACTAAAAATTATGGTTTGGGATCGGCAAAGAAATTCTAAACAAAATAAAAATTATCAATGTTAACTGTATTGTTTACATGCGAGACTCCTTGGAGATATGTAGAAATGTCTGAACATTTAAAACAATTTTATTTGTAAACTATATTAAATGAAAATTATTAACTGTAATATATCTTTGGCTAAAAGTTTAGTAGGTTGGTATATATTCAACACCCGAGAGGTGGTTACTGGTCCAGATATGGTTAATATATTTAAAACGCATGTCAAAAATCATAGAAAAATTCTCATCCTATATTTACAGGTTTTCTTAAAAAGAGCATTACTTTCTCAAGAGGTTCCAATTTCTGTTTTAGTTCTTCAAGGTTGCTGATCAGTCTTTTTTCTTGTTCAATTTGATGTTCATCCACATGCAAGACTTCAAAAAGTTTTGCTACTTGAAGTTTGACATCAGATAGCTCTTGAATTCTTTCAGATGTCAGTTTACCTGCAAATCACAAACAGTTCTCTCTACATTTTTATATTATCTTCCATGAAAATTCTTAAGTGTGTGTGTGTGTGTGTGTGTGTGTGTGTGTGTGTGTGTGTGTGTGTGAGTGTGTATTATAATGTAGATCAACATTTTCCAATTGCTGGGGTGCAGATCGTTATTTGCTGGGGTGCAAAATGTTGCACGAATATTTCACCAAAACTAAAAAAAATTAATTTATCACTTACCATATTCATCTGCCTCCAAGAACTAATCTTCACTCTTTCGCGACAGGTGAGTCTAAGTGCGCATGTCATGATGTTTCAGTGAACTACATTCAAAATTTAATTAATTGTGGTATACGAATACATTTGACAATCTCAATCTCCTCTAGTGTGAGAATTGTGACATTTGTTCTCTAGGCATCCCCTCTTCTTGAATTTATTTACCACCCCTCTGAGAAGTACAAAATTTAATGTAAATTACTCTCTCTAATGTCGTCATCAATCAAGTGAAGCAAAATTGTTATATCCTTCAATCTTATTTGTCTAACTCTAAAGAGCAATCAAATAGAAAATCAGACCCCTCCTGCCATGCTCACCTGTCACATCCTCCCTTTTAAAATATTAAAATACTTACAACTAATGTTACCAGGGCATGGTGAAATATTATTCAAAAGATCTACTGGGGTGCAGTAGCTTTTGGGTTGGGGAACACTGGTTTAGGTAATACTTTCTTCCTGGAGATTTGGTTAATATTTGCACCAGAGTTTAAAAAGAAGAACACTCTTACCAATTTTAAAAAGAAGAACACTCTTACCAATATTAATCTCCTGATATGTGTGCCATTCTGTGGCTCTCTTTTCAAGCATAGTAGAGAAAAGAAATAAACATAAAGCAAAAGAATTACGAAAAACCAGTCCTTTAGCAAATAAGCTTCCAATCAAATTGTAATTTACCAAATATTCAAATTCCAAAATAATTATAATCCAGCATAAACTGATAAAAATTAACTTTGATTAGGTATTACTAGCTTTCTAAAATTTAAGAAACCTATACTTTTCCTCATTCCTTAAGATCACTAGAAAAATTCCAAAATATCAGCATGACTATCGGGAATACAAACTTACATCTTTTTTGCCCTTTCAGCCGTGGGGGCATTATAATGTGAATATACACACACACACAAACAGTTCCTCATAAAATTCTAGAACATGACTTTTGGAGAAGTAAATTATTATACCTACATTTGGCTGGCCTTTTCAAACCTAATGTAGAAAAATTTGCAGAACATGCTAATAATCATAGAGAGGCAAAAGTAACAGATAATTTCATAAGTGGGAGCTAGTGTTCTGCACTATACTTACCTAATGGTGGAGGACTAACATAATACACAAAATCATTTATTGTGAGTAGAAAGTCTTCCTGCATCAGAGCTTCTATACTTGTAGATGCTGCTAGCCTTACCCCATCTGAAATTAAGTTTTTTACATCAAAGTAGCTTACTTCAATTTTTGTTTATCAAATTACACAAACAAATGAAAAATTAATCATGCACTTTAATTTATATGGTTTATAAAAAAAAATATTGTAATGAAAGCCATATAATCCAATCACTGTTCACTGTATTTTACACACACACACACACACACACACACACTTGAATATATATGTATTCCTCTGTAAGTGATATATTCAGAGGGTATAAATTTTTCCACATAAAAACACATTTCCTCCAATTATCTTTGAAAAGAATAGAACTCATGCAAAAGATGTGAAACTTAATTTAGCACTTCTTTGTGCACAAGCTTAGTTTATTGAAGTTACTTCAGTAAACGTTTTTTTTTTGTGACCTGAAAACTTGAAACCTAGTATCATATCCAAAGATCTAAAATTGTCAGCATCAGTTATATTTGCATCAATAATTTGAGCATTTCATAATTACTTCAAAGTGCTACAACAATTAGATAAAAACAAATGCCTAAAAGTAATGTGTGAAATAACAAAACAACACTACATGTAATCCTTCCACATTCTACATCCAATTTTGAAAATGAAATATATAAGAAAATATGAATCACCTGTTGTTTGAATTTTAATTCTGTCAATGCCATGATCTTCATTACTGATATCCTGTATAAAATCATTCACTGTACTACTCACAGGTCTTAACATAAATCGGCATTTTTCTTGACGAGAAGGAAGAGGTACTGTGACAACTGGAAGACCTCTTTGATAAAAAACTTCTGTTTCTACAGAAACAAAAAATAAACAAATGTATTAATCATTGTTTTTAAAAGGATGAGGTTCCATCCACAATTAATATCTAAAGAAGTTTTTGAAATTAGTTTCATCTTCTTATTCACCCAGTTTTCTGAACGAAACAAATACTAAAGACAATGCTTAATTGCTTAAAATGTCAAATCTTCTATGCTCTGTTATATAAACAACAAAAGATTTTTAGGTAAATAATAATGTCAATTCCATTTAGTCATCTTGATCATACTCATGTAAGAGTAGCTGTTATACACAGTTTCTTACAACTCAACTCGCGTTAAACACAGTAGATGGACTTCAATATCACTTTTTACTGTAGGCTTACACCATTTTCCAATTAGTACAGTTTTATTCTGAGAATGCTCACAAAGAAAATCATTCAGAATAAAAAAAAAAAAGAAAAGCATTATTTATTTGCTAGGTATTTCAAAAGTGATTAAAATATTAATAAATAAAGATTCTAATTATGGTGTTATAAGTCTTTTACAGAAAATTTTGTAACCTCAAGGTAATTAAAAATCATTTAAATGCAGTAGGTAGAATATTTATTTTTCCAAGCTCAGTTGAAAAAAAAAAAAGATCGTAAAGAT